GTATATGTGTGTGTGTATATATATGTATATATATGTATATATGTATATGTAGGTCGTAAAAGTAACATTTGTTTGGTATGTCACAGATTTTGTCCATTGCAGGGGTGGACTGGATCGTCATCCCCGTGATAATCACGGCACTGTTGTTGTAGTCATCGTGTTAAAACAGTAAAAAAAACAAACAAACAAAAAAAAAACCCACAACAATTTGGGCCAAAACAACACATTTTTGGGGTCATTCCATAAAAAGCAATCCTATTTTTGGTGGTTGTTTTGTGGAAAACAACCCAGAAAGTTGGACCAGATTGGCCCAAGTCGTGGATCGGTCCATTATGATTTTTTTTTTTTTTTTTTTTTTTTAGACCCAAATTGGGTTATTTTTAACCGTAACTGTTTTTGGAGTGTAGTCATAGTGCAGTTGTACAAGTTGAAGTGGTCATGTTTAAAAAAAAGTGTGCATTTTGGAGTGAATGTGAAAAGACCCCAAGAATCAAGAATTTATACAGCATATTTTTAGTCTTGCTTCAGCCCGTTTGAGATGCCACCCGCATCTCATCAGCCCTCACCGTGCCCCTTCGTACTGCTGGGCCAATTGCGAGAATGGATTTTGTTAACCATGGTGATCTTGGGTTGACTTCAAGGTAGCTGCGCTCAAATAAATACCGTCTAACCGAAAGTTTGGACGTCTCGTGTTCATAGTGTCGCACTGGCGTGGGCCGAAGAGCCGCTTTTGACTAACGATGTTGATTGTGCCACTGCGTGTGGGGATCTTAGCATTGATTTGCCAAGCTGTTGTCAACCGTTTAATTGGCTTGACTTCTTTTCTAATGGGTGGAGTTCACCTTTGCCAGTTTTAAATAGATCACAGTTAAGATTGTCACATAACAGGTTAAATCTAACAATGGTGGGTGGGGGCAAAACGGGACAGGGTGTGTGTGTACGTGCGTGGGGGTTGGATGAGACCACAGGCTGACATGCGACGTGCGCTTATGTTTACGTGCGTGCCCGCTGGGGTGCGCGCGCACGCGCCTGTGTTTGACTGGGTGTGTTTTGGAGCAGGTTCGTCTGGTGGATGTAGCGTGGTTGTGTAGGGCGTCGTGGGAACGCTCTTATTGGATGGCCAGGGGGCTGCCAGTTGCTATGGGAAGGAGACAACAAGCGGAGGGCTGCCGCCGCTGCTGGCTGTGGGTGTGTGCAGCTCGGGTTGTTTGTGGAAAATCAGGTCCGCTCAGGTGTGGGGAATTACGAGTGTTGAGTCGATAGAATGCGGATGAGGGGAGGCAGGGCAAGGGACTTGGGTCTCAGTACCCAGGGGCTCCATGGGAATTCTTCAGCTCCCGCGTGCTCCAAAAGAGGATCAGTATGCAAAGACATTCTCAGCTTGACTTTATCGGGTTGTCCAACTTTTGACCCCAGCATAAAAAATCAAATCAAATCTAAAATCTGGACTTCAATCATGATTCAATTGAAATGTGTTGCACATAAAAGTTAAATACATTTTGCAGGTCTTTGAAGTGCTCACACCTCTCCGCTTGTCGCATTGCTGCAAAAGATTGAATGCAAATGTCGGATACTTAAAAGTTCAATACAACTAAATTGCATGTCCTGTACAGCATTGGAAAAAAAGAACAAAAAGCATTTGAGATCACTGTAACCTTGTGGACAAGGGCATTTAAATTGGTCATTGTTTTGTATACCACCAGAGGGCGCCTGTATACAAATTGCATACCACACCTGAAAAGGTACTGCGCAGGTATGAGGATTTTCTGACTTTTTTTTTTTTTAAGACCAAAATGACCATTCTTGAGACAAATACAAATCCGTTGATTAGTTTTTGGGGTGGAGAGCTCTTTGTGCGGCGGTCAAGCAAGAAGGGGAGAGAGAGAGAGTGACCTGCGGGACGAGCTGGTTCTTCCGCAATTTGAGAGTGGGGCGCTGTTCAGAGATTAATGACCCATCAAAGATGTTTGAGGGTTGTTTTATTTATTTATTTATTTATTTATTTTTGCCTAGGTGAACAACATTGACATTTAATGTATCGTGCTCATTTATCTATTGGTTAAGTTTCAACCCTCCTGCTATCGCCGATGGACGTGCACCAACTTTAGCATTTGCTGGCGCGAAATTGCCTGCTTAACTCATGTAATCTGCTTTATATCGGTTTGGTGCACACGCAGCACATTAGCATCCAAATTTTAGTCACCCCTCCCCCCAGTGGTTGTTACAACAGTGATCCCTCACTTATCGCGGTTAATGGTGGCCGGGACCACCCGTGAAAGACGAAAATCCGCGAAGTGGGGTTTGGCCCCCCCTCCCTCACCCCCTCTAGGACTTTTTGTGTAAGGGTTTGTGGGTACCAGCATGTTTAAAATATGTAAACGGTATTTATAATTGACATATTTGAGACAATGACAACGGCCTTACACGTTTACTTAAATCTTTAATTATAAAACCTTATATAGTAATTAACATTCATCTGCATTGCCTTTTGAGAGAGAGAGAGAGAGACTTGCTCTTTGCGTGCACCCCTTCCCCTAGCCACACACACACACACACACATGTAACAAACACAACAGTGTGTCTCGACACTGATCAAAGGCAACCACGTGATAAAACACTGACAGAGAGTAACCCACGTGATAAGACACAAGGGAGGTTGTTGGGCGGGGCTTCACAGCCAATCAGCTCACGGTATATATCCACTCGTGCTGTCATTGGTCGATGTCGTGCTGGGAACCAATCAAGTTCAGCCATGTACAAAACCTATGAGTCATTCGGCATTTTTTTTCTGAATACAGTAATTTGGGGAAAAAAACGCGATGGAGTGAAGCCGCGATAATTGAAGTGCAATATTGCGAGGGCCAAAAAGGGATCTTCTTTATCACCAGTCTAGCTTCTTCCACACTTTCGTTTTGTGTTCATCCAAATGGAGCATCCTGGCAGTAAAAAAAGAAAATAAATACATAAAATAATAAGATTGTGAAGTCAGACATTAGTGCCACTGATAGGACACAAATGTGAGCATAGGCCAGTCTTGGTTATGTTGCACTTTTTAATCTTCCTCATTCTCTCGCCCACTCTACATTTCCACTTCCTCCTGTGAGTGTGCGTCTTTCTTTCTTTCTTTCTTTCTTTCTTTCTTTCCTTCCGGGTCCGTTTGGACCTCGCCTCTTGCTCAGGTATTTTAATCAAACGGCTAATGCTATAAAGGGAATTAACCTAGTGGCCTGTGGTTACACCGCTCCGCCATTGCATAATCCTGTGTCTGTTCCGCTCCTCCCAAACAATTTACAGGGCTCCCGTCCACACCAGTGTGTGAGGCACGCATCATCGCTAGCTCTCAGGGAAGTCACATATGGAAACAAAGTAGCTGGGATAAGAGACGGCTGCTGAGCCTCGTTTACACTGTCCCTCGCGTGCACGATACCCAAAAACGTAGCTACACTCACACACTTCATTTGGTACACCAATCCATTTACAGTTGTGTCAAAAATTCTGGCTTCACAAGGATAATCATTTCCAGCTTTTTTTTTTGGGGGGGGGGCGTTGCTGGTTAGTCAATTTAGGAAGTCCCGTCTGGGACCCTTAAAATTAGGTGTGTTTTCATATACTCTGTTTTAAAGCTTCCCAAAAAAAGACTTTCTCTTTCACTATAGAAATATGTAAACTGTTCAGTGATGCGGCCTGACTATCATCTTGTTCTAATTTGTTTTTTTTTTAATAATAATAAAAGTCCAGGGTGGCCTATGACGATCATGAGGACAAGCATGATTATTTTAAAAAATGGTTGGATGGTTCATTTGAAGACCTTTTTTCTTTCTTGGATTTTTTAATTTCATAACATTGATCATGAATTTTGTGCTATTTTTTTTCCAAGAATTTTTGGTGTTGATTCCGAACCTGCCCTCATTTTTTTCTGTAGCACTTCAGATTTTTTTAATAATAATAATAATAATAATGATGATGATGACATGTAATCTCATCATATATTTCGTATTATGCATGAATTATTGTTTCGCTTCAGCAACAGGTGGAATTTCTGAAACCTTAAAGCTTTACCTTTAAATGCATGGTAAAATCTGTGAAGAAAAAAAAAAACTATCCCCAAAACCTCATGTCCTGGGACAAAAGCTAAAGACACTTTTTTTTTAATTGGGGTAAAAAACATGTTTAGGGACACACAAAGCCAGTTTCGATTGTAATTTGCTGTCATTTAAAGTGAATTGAATCATTCCAGGCTCATCATAATCTCTTTGATAACACAAACATGACTGTCATACATGTTTAAAGAGATGACAACCACTTTTAGAACAACTCCAAAATACTGAATTCAATGCAGCCGCTTCCCCTTTGAAATCCTCTGACAAGGAACAGGAACAGGAATTGTTTGCAAAGCGACACTGTCACCCAGTGGTGAGTCTTGGGTATTGCGGGACTGAAGGACTTTGTGTTTCCCCAGGTGGTGATGTCTTCAGGCGAGGACGGTCTGATTGGAATCCCCTTCCCGGAGCACAGCAACGAGCTTCTGTCCCACCTCAATGACCAGAGGCGCTCGGGGCTCCTGTGCGACCTCACTCTGACCTCTCGCGGGGCACGCTACCCGACCCACCGCGCCGTCATGGCCGCCGTCAGTCTCTACTTCCGCCGGCTCTTCGGGGCAGAGGAAGGCGGCTGCGGCGAGGGCGGTGGTGGAGGTTTCAGCGTGTGCCAGCTGGACTGCGTGGCGCCCGACGCCCTGGACGCCCTGCTGGAGTTCGCCTACACGGCCACCTTGACCATCCCCTGCTCCGGGATGAGGGACGTGCTGCGGGGGGCTCAGCTTTTGGGCATCCAGTGCGTGGCGGACGCCTGCAGGGACATCCTGGGGGAGAAGGCGGAGCCGGACGAGGCAGAGGAGGAAAGGCAGCAGCACGCGGATGCCGTTCAGAGGCCGGCAGTCGAGCGCGGATCCCGAAGGAAAACGGACCGGAAGAAGGTGAAAAAAGTGGGGCCGCATCACATCGACTCACTTTTGAACCCGCCGCCCGTTTCCCCGGTCTCGTACCCTTCACCGCTGTCGGAGAGCATGTGCTCGCTGCCCCCCGCCCAACCCCTCAGCCCGGAACCGGACGAGCTTCTCTTCAAATGGAGGAAGAATGGCGACGCCGGGGCGGTCCGAGTACCAGAGAGGGGCCCCACGTTAAACGGAGGCCATCTACACTGGATGAACCAATGGCCCTCACCCCCAGCCGCGCCCCCAGAGGACAAACTGTCCGAGGAAGAAGACATGGAGGGCTTTGGCAACGAAGGTACGCTGATGGAAAGCACCTCCACCACTTCCTCCGTGGCCGAGCGGGGGATCGGCGCAGCGTCGGCCTCGGCGACGGCGGAGGTCGGGGTCGGCAGGAAGAGGAAGTCGCAAATGCCTCAGCAGTGTCCCGTCTGTCAGAAGATCATCCACGGAGCGGGAAAACTGCCTCGACACATGAGGACGCACACCGGAGAGAAACCCTTCCAGTGCTCCGCCTGCGGGGTTCGCTTCACCAGGTACGCAAACCTCCAGAATACGACACCCATCTCTCCGTTTTCTGCAGGTGGTTATCCTGCGCTGGGTTACAAGCCCGAGTCTTTGTTGGATACAAAAAAATGAGACCAACATACAATTTTCTTTTTGCCCACTAATTCTTAACTTACAATCTGTAGAATGCAATGGCAGCACATGTGCAATTCTCCCAAAGACTCAACGGCCCATCAAAACACTGGAAATGATTACTGATAGTTTTTTATTATGATTAGTTTTTTTTTTTTCAATATATGAAGAAAAAAAGGGGGCGGGGGGCTGCAGCAGAAGTGCAAGTGCTTGAGCACCACTTGGGGTGTATGTGTGCACTTGCCTGCTACTTGGCCCGTTTCAGTGTGCCGTCGCGCCAGTGGAAAAACAATGTGGTGTTTTCATTTCTATTGTTCAAGGGTGAAGTTGCCATTCATAATCGCAATTCGATAATTACAATGAGCAACTGGCAAGCGGAACAATTGTATTAATTACATGGGAGTTCATCGGGTGTGTGTACGTGTGCCGTTTGTTGACTGTGGAGCTCGATCATTTCCAGCCATTCTATTCATTTATGTTGCGCAACTCGTCATAAGTTAAAATTACTCAGTACCAGTCAATGAAATAAGAAGAATGAAACAGAAATTTGGTGCGATCATGTGAAACAACATGTGACCGAGTGTGTCGCGGACACTCTTCTTACACTGACTTATTTCTCGCCATTCTCATTCTTCCTTTTGTGATTATCGTCGCTCAGTGGCGACAGGAACCACTGCAGTCATTAAATGGCACTCACGTTGCACGTCGGTGCGCCACTAAGTGTGCACTTGGCACCTCCAAATAAAAATATTTCTTGAAATAATGATCATCTCAATTTAATAAGCAATTTACTTCATTAGTTTTACGAATGACACGGGGTAATTGTACCTTCTACCGTCTAGGGGAAGAGCATTCAAAAATTCTTCCGCGCAAAAATCGGAGGGCTTTACGATCCCTTCCCACCCAAGTCAGCAAGGCCGCGATTATCGGATGACCAAAAACAGCGTTTCCCAAACTTTATTATTGATTTCGGTAACTCGAATCACCCCTTTTGCAAATCAACTTTCCTCAGAGAAAGGAATGGAAATGACATGAATCTGCTGAAGACCAAAAAAACAGCCCATGTCGTTGCTGTTTTGCAGTAACGACATAAATAGAATTGCAAAGAATTAAAACAATATTGTCATACTTTGCATCAATTGAATGGCCATTTTGCTGCCTCCCACTTTGGCCACCGGAGGGCAGTATAGAAGAGGCAGCTCATCTCAGCACCTTGCAGAGGATAAAGAATATATGACTGTGATTCCCGTGATGGTGAACCGTATTCATTTCTGTGCCGAATAAGTGGGTAATAAGTCGGATCATTTCCCGCGGCTGGTTGGCAGTCATTGAATTGGAGCTCTCACACCAGCCAAATGGACTGGAGTTTTGATGTCGCAGTTTGGTTGCCCATCCTCGCGCAACCCCCGGCCGGCCACCTTTTCACCACCTGGTGTGTTTTTGCATCTAGGAATGACAAGTTGAAGATCCACATGCGGAAGCACACGGGCGAGCGTCCCTACTCGTGTCCGCACTGCCCCGCCCGCTTCCTGCACTCGTACGACCTGAAGAACCACTTGTCCCTGCACAGCGGCGCGCGGCCCTTCGAGTGCCTGCTCTGCCACAAGGCCTTCGCCCGCGAGGACCACCTCCAGCGCCACCGCAAGGGACACAGCTGCCTGGAGCTGCGCACGCGCTGGCCCAGACGAGGTCCCGACGACCACCAGGAAGTGGACGTGGACGCGGACGCGGGCGAGCGCCTCCAGCCGCCGCGGCCCCGCTCGTCGGCTTTCCCGCGGCCCACCATGCTGGAAGGCGGCATGTTCCAAACGGACGCTGACAGGGAGCGCTCGCTCGCGCTGCAGGCTCTGGCGCAGCTCAGCCCGCACCGGTTCGCCAACTACCACAGCCTCCTTCTGCGAGGCGCCGAGCAGCGAAGGGTCAGGGAAGGCGGGGCCAAGGATCCCGAGGGAGTCACCTCGCAGCGTCAAAGCTGGCCACTGGAAGCCGCGGAGAAGATTGGTGTGGTGGAGGAGGACGTATAGTGAATGTTTGAGTCTGTGTGTGGTCTTACATCCACGCTAAAAAAATATATATATATTATAATCTCACTCAGGTGACTCGACCTGCTGCTCCATGTGGAACCCCGCCCCAAAAAAATGTCAAACGGGTTTTCTGAGTCGTTTTAAATGTTTGTTTGTCTACTCTCCTTCTTTCTAGGTTCAAAAGGGAAACTCCTGATGAATTTTCTCTTTGATATGATGTGCTCCCATGAGTCCAACCACAATATTCTTATGATTATTGACTTTGAAGGGGTAAAAATGAAGGAGATGAATTAATTTTAAAACAACCTCAGGATGCTGACATTCTGTCCCGTTGGCTGAAAATGACATCAAAGTGCCCCCGGGCTCATAAAGCGAACATCACGTGACCAAACTCGTAAAACAGGTGAGGTGTGATGGTCCCAATGCGAGCCTGGTGGCACTGTGATGTCGTTTTTTTGTTTTTTTTTCAGTCAACAGCAGAGGGCGGTATAAAGACCAAAATGGCAGCCGCTTGAGATGGATGACAACAGATGGATTCATTTGCTTCGTATTTACGACACGAAAGCAATATTCATCACAACAGAGCCTTTCGACTAGTGGGCACCTATGCAAAGATAATGTTTGCCTTGAGTTCCCCTTCAAGCCGCCTTTTCCGATTTTTGTGTTCATACTCGCGTTTACTGGGATGCTTTTCAAGTTGCAAACAAGAAATTCGAAGCTCCAAAATGGAGCGACGGTGAATATTAGCGTTTTGGGAGTGGTCACTTGTGGTAAAAGTGCAGCCAAGTGCTCTCTGTCTTTGCTTAGATTTGGTGCTGGAACCAAAGTTCTAGTTACTTGATAAAAAAAATAAATAAAAAAAAATGTAGCCAATGTTGGGTCCAAAGAACTCCTTCTGCTTCCATAGTTGAGTTTTCTGTGTTGATTGACCAAAAAGACCAAGTCTTGGTCAAAAGTTGTTTTCGTCTCTTTAAAGACTGTCGATTTCAGCCTTCCCACATGCAAGTTTGGCTTTCATAGTGACAAAAAAAAAAGGTGTGGGGATGAACAAGAGCATTTACCCCTTTTTCTGTATTTATTTATTTATTGTGTTTATTTATTTTTCAGTTTTTTTTTTTTTTGTGGGATCAAATCCAAGGTTGGTCAACGATCTTAATGTCGTTGGTGCGCTTGAGAATGTGGCTCTTGGTCCCTTCTTTGCGCTCTCCACTACTTGCACATGTGAACCCAGTCAGGTACTGCACAATAACCCATGGCAGCCTCTTCGAACAGGGGTGGGCAACCTGTGGAACTCGGGCAAGGCGGAGCCTTTTATCATTTAAAAAAAAATTGTTGTTCATTGACTTCTGACTTTTGGAAAGAGGTTGCCTACCCCGGTGTTCAAGACTCCAGAGGTGGCAGTAAATTTTCGTAGCAGAAAGGCCAAATGAGTGTAACAGCGCAGCATGTGCAGTTTGTGGAGTCCGTTGTGTGCTCAATCAAAAAAGCTCAGGAGAAAACCAAAGTACTCACCCAACAGGTTAGTTTAAACTCCCCGGCATCATTACTTGAAATTTGTATGCTTTTCTTAAACACACATCCAATGGACAAAAAAAAAAAATGTTTTTCAATAGTGATATTTACCTGTAACATTCTATTTACAGGACATTATATTCCTGCAAGGGACTGCCATTTTCTCAGTTGTCTTGCCTGCGCTGCCTTCGAGTAAACTGGGAATTTAGAAATTTACCGTCTCGCGCAATTAAAAGTCACTTAGATTCAAAACTTAACAAAATGCCCTGACTGTTTGTTAAACGATTCGATTTTGCTTTAATTTTTCATCATGAGTTCCCTCTAATAGATGCTGTGGGAATGGGTGTGGCATCTACTTTAAAAAAAAACAATTCCGTAATGTTTCTGAAAGCTAGTATTACACATGGACATTTAAAGTCCGCGTCAAATGAAAATAAAAGTGTTTTCTAAATTGGGCACACCACACGGTTGTTAACAAACTTCCAAAATTTGATTAAATAGAAATTCACCGTTATGTAGCAGCATTAGAAGGGATGCCTACTAATTTCGCCATTTTAAGCAGTAAAAATAATATTTCGTTATTTTCCATATACAACTAACACTTTTGAAAAACGCATTTTGTCACTTGCTGTCGACTGAAAACGATATGTTTGCAGGCTGACAAAATATTGACTTTTTACCGCTGGAAATTGCTGAGAAAGAATCCAGTGACGCTAACGCACTCAAGGCTAAGCCTCATATTTGTTTTAAATACACAACATGTAATTGTATAAAAAAATAGTTTCAGCTTTGGTTACAGAATCAATATCAACTGGGAGTGGCAGTAGACTAAAAACTAGTTTTTGAAAAACTGGTCAGTATTTGCCAAAGTGCTGTTTGTTGCCAGTTTCAAGTTCCTTTGAGGTCACTGCCAGCATTTGTTTCTCCAATTTGTGTTCGTAAGCCCTCACCTCTTTCCTCCACCTCAGTCAAAACAAGCAAACCAAAACAGCAGCACCTACTGAGGCATGTAGCAAGACCTCACTGATCACATGGCGGCTACTGTAACCCCTGAGAGCCCAACATTATGAGGAAGTAAGTGGATTCAATGAAAGAAATAGTCAAATCAATTTGTAAAAAAAATAAAATTCATCCACTACTTATTTAGCTTGTCGGTCATGTTTTGAATCGAATTTGTTGCGAAATTTCCATTTCCCAGAAGTCTCGAACGCAGCAATAATTGCTTCTGCCACCTGGCGCCTCCTGTTGGTGATGAATGTAAAACGCACTATGCTAACCCGAGTACTTGTCATTTAAGTCGCATGGGACCGACCATTTAAGACTTTTTGTTTTTTTTGTTTTGTGATATATATATATTTTTTTTTTTTTCACGTCCAAATACTTTGAACGTCCTTCTTCTTGTTTAGCGCAGTTGTATTGTTATCAAATATCATAGATATGAACGGGATGAAGTTGCCTTTGTTTTTGTTATGCTGCACTTCTTCTTCTCAGGAACTCTTGAGCAATGCACTAAGTGGTTACAGGACAGATAAAACGGGGGAAACGAGATACTGGCTCTTCCACAAATGAGGCCGCCGGTATGAAAAAAATATTGGACTCAGTTTATATTCGGAGCTGTTTTTAAAATGGCATTCACGTGGACTGCTAGTCTTAAATAGAGAGCGTCAGTGCTCTCAGTCCAAATGGAACGAAATGAGTGAGTGTGACTCGATGCCAGCTGTGAAGTGTACCTCTCTATATAAAGCTTTAGTGGCTTGGGTGAAGGGCGGAGGGTCCGAGACCATCTCGCTATCAGGGATAAGTTAGATTTTTTTTTTTTACCCCCTTTAGTTTCTTCTCGACCTTGACTGTTCACCTCTCGTCTTGTCCTTTTATTTTAATTTTTTTTTCCACATCATGTCAAGGACCAGAAATAAAATTAAAAAAAAAAACATGTCAAAGCTTGCCTTTTGCTGCTTTTCTCTGTCAGTGATTCTCAAAAGTGTGAAACAAATACCACCGGTGGTACGTCAGCTCCCTTTAGTGGTATGCGAAAGAATCTGTAAATTCAATCTTCAAACCGCGGACATTTGCTCCAGCGGCTTAAATGACATTTTTGAATAATGTACAGTGCATTTGTGAAGTCGGTTGCATTTATTGCAATACATTTTAGAAACAATGTGTTGGAACATGAATTTAGTTACCATTTTTATCACACGTAATCCTTTCAGTACAAGTTTGAATCTTTGCAGTCTTAATTGGGGGTCAGCCTTTTTGGTTGACTCCATGTTTCAAATTTTCTTAACTTTCTGCATCTTCATCCTATTTTCAAAAAGGCTGGTATCTTTGGAGAGCTTGAAAATCAGAGAAACAAACAATATTGACCGAGACAGAGGCTGGACATTCGAACAGAAATGCGGCGAATGCAAAGCCTGACTCTTGGACCACAAGTGAGGGATGGTCTGTTAGAAAATTGACGATGAAAGTGAACAGTATATTTAGAAAAAGTATAAGTAGACTGATGCATTGTATGGAACCATTTTATTTCAGATTTAAAGCAATAACTGGAATGACAAAAAAAAAAAGACATATTTGAGAGTTGGAAACAGCTCCCAGGTCTCACAATGGTATCCGTGTTGTGGGTTCGCTTCATCAAAATATTCATCAATTTGCAAAGGAGGAAAGTGGCTGTTTGGCAACTTTGTCTCCAAGGAGCTCCGCCCACAATGATGATAAAAGCGCAGCGCACCTTGGGAGGTTTTGCATGCCAAGCGTCGCTTTCTCTCCCTCTCTTTCTGTCTGGAATTGATGTACGACGACATGGGGCTCACTGAAGCCTTGGCGGTTCTTGAATTGGGCCGCTTCATGCAAACGGCTGTCGTTTGCCTCCTTGTTGCCGCTATCTATAAATTGTTGGCAGTGCTGCTTCAGCTATGGAATTCCGCTGGAAAATCTCCGATCTTTCCAGTACCAGACGGACACTGGTTGATGGGTCATATTTTAATGGTAAGACATTCAAATCAAGAAAGACTGAGGTGTTTCAGGCTACAGAGAACATCTTTTGTTTTTTTTTGTTTGTTTTTTTTTCAGGTTCAACAAGATGAGTCTGGCATGGAACAGCTGATCAAATGGGGGAAGCAGTACCCCTACGCTTTCACCGTTCGCCTCGGTCCCATTGTTAAATTCCTCTACATTCACCACCCCGATTACGCTAAAACCTTTTTGACGTCCTCAGGTGTCTATTTAGATTTCTATCAACATTTCAAATAGGAGCTAACAGAGCAGATGTGACAAATAAATTGAAGTATAGCATCATTTCTCATGTATAGTAGTCACGGTTGTTGCTGAAAATGTCAAAAGAAATAGAGGGTGTATGTGCATTGTTGAAATCCATATCAGGAATGGGCAACTTAAATGCTGGAGGGGGCGGGGGGGGGGTGTCACTAAAACAGATGTGCGACAAAAAAAACTTATTTTTGACATAGGGAAAAAATATGTCCATGCCGTACGTGCAAAAAAGATATCATTTCAAATCCGCAAAATCTTATTCAGGTACTAACTACCCTTGTACTTTCAGGGAGTACGCCAAACCCTGTCTGCCATCTGGTGGTGATTGGTAGTATTACAAGTTTAAACGCCAGTCAATCTCAAGATTGTGAAAAAGGCGTTCAGTGGACCCTCGCCATTGGTGGGGGATAAGGACTGCCCAGCCCACGAGTAGTAAAGATATGTGAATAATTGACACCTCTTTGAATTGCTTTCATAATTGGAACAAGCATAAAACACACAAGATAAATACGTACACGGGGTCTCGTCACATAAGAGAACTTGAACAGAAATGGTGAGGAGGCAAGACGGCTTCCGTTTTTGAAGCATAGATACCCAGTAAATCCGGGTTGCGTATTGGCACAGTATAAATCCCTCTGTTGTCCGTGCTTCACGACAAGAAATGATGCCGTGTCCCATTGCGAGACTAATAAAGGTTTTTCTTATCTTATCTCTTACAGAGCCAAAGAATATGTCATACAAGATTTTTCTGGACTGGATTGGTGAGAGACATTTTGGAGTGAATCATGGCAGAGTTTCATTTCTCAGACACACTTTGACATGCCACCCGCTTGAATCCTCAGGTGACGGCTTAGTGTTGTTGGATGATGACAAATGGCTTAGCCACAGAAAGCTCCTGAATCCGGCGTTTCGTATTGATATTTTGAAACCGTATGTGAAAGTGATGTCCCAGGCAGCAAATACTATGTTGGTGAGTACATGTTGTTGTTCTTCCTTGACCACCATGGGTGGCGAAAGTGTCCGCACTATAAGGCGCATCTAAAAGCATTCCATTTTCTCAAAAGCCGACCTTGCGCCTTATAATCCGATGCGCCTTATATATGGATCGATATTCTTATTTCTCGGCCGTAGTATTTTAAATGTTTGGTTAAGGGTTTTGTTACAGCTTCAGCGGTTGTGAAAGCTTGATATAACTAAAGCTATATTGTATTTAATTGTATTCCCTTTAGTGTTGCTCCGTCTGGTGGTTGCGTAACGCAACTGCAGCCACTATTGTAGCTTCTATTCTATGTGGTGTGCCCTCGATATGAAAACCGTTTTAAAATAGGCCATTCACTGAATGTGTGCCTTATAATGCGAAAAATACGGTCCTCGCATTCGGGGTTTGTGGCAGATGATATCAGGCTTAGCAACCAACCACTTGGTGGATGGCTCATGTGTCAAGCCAGTGCTTAACAGAGTCCATCTCTTCCAAAGTACCCCCCACCCGCAACCCACCACACCGTGACTTTTAAAACTGGCCTTTGCCAAGTCTGACTTGCTGACCCATTGTCACCAGGACAAATTGGAGCGCTATTCGAACACCGGCGAGTCCTTTGAGATATGCGAACACATGACCGCCATGACGATGGATATCATCATGAACTGCGCCTTTTGCTCCAAGAAAAAGACCGTGAGGTCAGCCTTGCAGTTCTTCTGATTATTTCCTTCTCTTTCTGGCACAGGAAAAGCTAACGCTTCATTTTTCTGGTTTCAGCCGAACACCCGAGTTTCTCAAAGTAACAAGGGAGCTCGCCGATATTGGCTGCTTGCGCTTCCGAAACCCTCTTTACCACAACAAGCTCCTATTCCATCTGAGCCCTCTCGGCTTCAGCTACAGGAGAGCCTGCAAAGTGTTTAACGGCTATACAGGTAAAACTCTGCAAAGGATCACCCATTCTTAATTGATTTGCTCACAGAAACTCCCATGAAGCCCTGTTTGGAGTTGCGTTGCGTTCCAGATCCACCCACGAAATACGAAAATCCGTGATATTGAGAAACAATACAAGAAATGTTGAACTTTGAAACTGACACATTCAACCGAAGAAAACCCAACATCGTACATCTCAACACCAACGTTCTGCAGAACTGTAAAAGTTTGCCGAAAGCCCCGATCCCACTGATCTGCGAACAATTGCGAGTGTTTTTCGAAGGTAGCGAATGCGGGGTCCTCATCAAGGTTCGTTCAAGGTCACAAACGTTCGCCTGTAGCAGCGGGTGTTTCCGTCAGTCGTCAGTGAAATGGGAGCCCTTCAGTAACGGACTGAGAAGGCCTGTCGGGACGGAGCCGATTCGTGACGATAACTGGCTTTCGTCAGTGTTTTGTCCATCACTTTGTCAAAGTTTCTCGTCATTCGCCAGGAAAATGGGCAGTCCATCAGTGACTAGTAAAAATCCATTGAAGAAAAGCATTTGTTGAAACATGGACGATATTCGGGGGCAGCGAAAATGAAGCGCGATATCGCAAGGGTTCATTGTTGCTCAATTCTGTCTTGACACATGACGCCACATGTCAGTCGCATCTTTTCTTTTGCTTTTTCAAAGATGAAGTGATAAAACGGAGAAAAGAACAACGAGCGCAGGAAGCGAAGGAGCCGCATCACCTCCCGACCACCGCAAAACTGGATTTTCTGGACACTCTCCTCTCAGTAAGAGTATGTTTCATGAAAAAAAAAAAAACAAAACAAAACACTAACGGGGCGGGGGAGGGGGGGGTCGTCAAATCAGCACTGACTGATTTGACCTGGTGTTATATATCAAAGGGGGGGGGGGGGGGGGTTTTTTTTTTTTTTTTTTTTTTTTTTTGCTTTTTGTTGTGAGCCAGAATGAGGTCCGAGTTTAACTTCCAATGCACCGGCGCTAGATGACGGCAGAGAATGCCCTAACAGTCTCTCCTGGCCGCGCTTCATAATTCCAGAGGTGTTCTTATTTCACCTCAGGTCCTGTGAGATCTGCCCTCCAAGAAACTTGAAGCTGTCCACACTCCCACCGTGCATGCTCAGGTCTTGACGTTGGGAAATTGATCATCACAATCCTTCGTTTTTGTCCACGTGGAGCAGCAGGTTATCGTCTCTGCACCAACCCTCCAGCTGTTTAATGTTCTTTTTGCCCTCTTATACGGATACACAGTCGTGCGTTTCGCAGCGTGAACAACAACGGACTGAGTACGGAGCCTTGAGGACATCCGGAGCTCAGTGTGATAACAATTGGAGGTGTTCTTTTGGATATGAACAGACTGCGGACTTTGTGTAAAAAAAAAAAAAAAGTCCAGGCTCCCCCAGCGCAGTCTTTAAGGTGGTGTGGTTGAAATCCCAAGAAATCTCTGTCTGGGTGTTTGGTCAAGAGCCCACTGACGACTTTGAGAATCTCTGAGTGCCTTGTTAGCTTCAACGTTAGCTCTGGGAGTCACGTACACAGCGGCTACAATCACATTCGTGAATTCCCTCGGTAGATTGAATGGCTGGCATTTCTCAATGAGGAACTCTTCCACCTGAGAGCATTTTTTTTTTTTTTGTAGTTAATGTAGCATTGACGATGCAACTTCCACCCCTGTTCCATAAACACGTATGCCAGCTTAATTCAAGACTGCATCATTTTAAAGTGTGAATGCGAGTGTTAGCGCCAGTCCAGGGTGGACCCAAAATCAGCTGGGTTATGCTCCAGCTCACCCACGACTCCCGTGAAGGAAATGGCTGGAGCACTATTTGACCACATAACAAGCATTTTTTTTTTCTTCATAGGGTCACAATCAGGCGGGCCTGACAAATGAAGAAGTACAAGCAGAGGTGAAGACCTTCATGGTGGCGGGCCATGAATCCACCTCCGTTGCTCTCTCTTTTATTTTTTACACTCTGGCCTGCAACCCAGAACATCAGAAAATATGCAGGGAGGAGGTCACCCAAGTCCTGGGCGACAAGGACACCGTGGATTGGTAAACAAATCTTCCCTTTGGGGAGAAAAACGCTTTCACCGCTTTGCACAGTTTTCTCCAACCTCAACCTCAGCCCGAGCTCCATGATCGGATGGTTGTGGGGCTCTCATTTCATGATGGCGATCGTTTGGTCTGTGTCATCTTTCACTAGGGAGGATCTGGCGAACATGCCTTACACCACCATGTGCATCAAAGAATCCCTTCGGCTTTACCCGCCTGTTCCAGTAGTTTCCAGAAAACTCACCAAACCAATGACTTTTTTTGACGGAAGAACTTTGTGAAATCCCAAGAAATCTCTGTCTGGGTGTTTGGTCAAGAGCCCACTGACGACTTTGAGAATCTCTGAGTGCCTTGTTAGCTTCAACGTTAGCTCTGGGAGTCACGTACACAGCGGCTACAATCACATTCGTGAATTCCCTCGGTAGATTGAATGGCTGGCATTTCTCAATGAGGAACTCTTCCACCTGAGAGCATTTTTTTTTTTTTTTGTAGTTAATGTAGCATTGACGATGCAACTTCCACCCCTGTTCCATAAACACGTATGCCAGCTTAATTCAAGACTGCATCATTTTAAAGTGTGAATGCGAGTGTTAGCGCCAGTCCAGGGTGGACCCAAAATCAGCTGGGTTATGCTCCAGCTCACCCACGACTCCCGTGAAGGAAATGGCTGGAGCACTATTTGACCACATAACAAGCATTTTTTTTTTCTTCATAGGGTCACAATCAGGCGGGCCTGACAAATGAAGAAGTACAAGCAGAGGTGAAGACCTTCATGGTGGCGGGCCATGAATCCACCTCCGTTGCTCTCTCTTTTATTTTTTACACTCTGGCCTGCAACCCAGAACATCAGAAAATATGCAGGGAGGAGGTCACCCAAGTCCTGGGCGACAAGGACACCGTGGATTGGTAAACAAATCTTCCCTTTGGGGAGAAAAACGCTTTCACCGCTTTGCACAGTTTTCTCCAACCTCAACCTCAGCCCGAGCTCCATGATCGGATGGTTGCGGGGCTCTCATTTCATGATGGCGATCGTTTGGTCTGTGTCATCTTTCACTAGGGAGGATCTGGCGAACATGCCTTACACCACCATGTGCATCAAAGAATCCCTTCGGCTTTACCCGCCTGTTCCAGTAGTTTCCAGAAAACTCACCAAACCAATGACTTTTTTTGACGGAAGAACTTTGCCAGAAGGTCAGTGGTTAGGGCAACTGCTTTCGTCCGTCGAGAGCTGAAAACACATTCTCGGAATATTACCCAACAACATTAGTGCCGCAGTGGTGCTTTGACTTATGAGTGTGCCAACATACAAGTTTTTCAGGTTACCAGAAAAAGCCGTCCTAATTTTGTGTGTGTGTGTGTGTGTGTGTGTGCGCGCTCGCGTGCGTGCTGTGGGCCAGAATTGGAGGTACTGTAGTGCCCCTTATCATTGTTACGACTGAGCTGTGAGGCACGTTCATACATTCAAATCCCCCCAGCTTGTCAATCTCCTCGTCAAACCCTGAGACCATTTTTCCATCGGTGCCAGTGGCGAGCACGACTCCAGCATTCAAACGTGACGCGCGCACCATTGTGCACACACACACACACACACACACACACTCAACACAATCACTAGCTACTTCCTAATTGTAAAGCTAAACTAAATAAATAAATAAATACATACACACATAAAACTATGCAATTCACTGTGTTTCCTTTTCTTCTAGGTTCGTTGATTGCGCTGCAGGTGTATGCACTACACAGGAATGCAACCGTCTGGGAGAACCCTGACGCAAGTGAAACTCTTTTGACTGGTGGTGTCACTGGCCTAGCTTTTCTCGTGTCATTGCTCCAAACACGCGGGGCTCTATTTACGTGACTGGTGCAATTCTGCCATGATGAGCGGTGTAAATCTGTGCGGCGACACATCCGCTGTGTTGGTAATTTTGCGCAAAATGAGTGTATTAAAAAAAAAAAGGTGGTCTGCGCCGTTGTGGGTATACCACAACCGCCTTCAAATGCCGGCAATTGAAGTGACTCTTTCCATTTCATTTTATGTGACGCATTCACATCTTTCCCTGGAGGCATCTCTGTACAGAAAAGGATGCGGGCATCTGTGTTTGACCGGAGCGTTAATTGATTTGTGCAATGACTCTGAAGATTTTACACCCGCTGTCTTGACTGCGCTCCCATCAAATTCACCAAAATCGTGTTAGACCAGCTGAGCCACTATTTTGTGGCCCAGGCAGGTGTAACTTCCGGACTTTCTGTCACCGTGTTGTCACTCTGCCGCGCTTATCTTCAAGGACACACCCACACAGGTTTGCACCCCGACAAAAATCAGCATTTTTACTTGCACCAGCAATGAAAATGGAGCCCTTTGATCCCTTTAGTCGAAATACCCAAGTATTTAAGAGGATTTGCTGCTGAAATTTGTCATTTTGCCATCTTGGGTCATCTCAGCTGTTTGACCCGTTACGATTCCTGCCAGACAACGTTTGCCAAAGGTCTCCACATGCATTTGTGCCCTTCTCCGCAGGCTTAAGGTTCGTCCACGTGTTCTTGCGTGTGACTGTTTATCTCCAGCGACCAGTGAGTATATTTTTTTCCCACTCCGCCCCTTAGGAACTGCATTGGTCAGAGTTTCGCCATGAACGAGATAAAAGTGGTCGTGGCTTTGATGCTCAAGAGGTACCAGCTGATCGAGGACCCCACTAAGAAGCCCAGGCTGCTTTATAGAATTGTGCTTCGCCCCAAAACTGGCATCCACATTCAAATCAAACCTCTGGATGCTTGACCAGAGGTGGCAAAACCAGTTCCAGAAAGTTAAAAAACCCTGCAACAGTTTTGGTTCAGCCACAGGTGCTTCTACTCATTCGGTGGGGGGTGCGAGAGCTCATCAAATACATACAAACACTGTATATCTTCATTCATCTGTCCATGCAAGCGACATATATTGATCGGCATAACATACCATTCATACAACAAGATAAGTAATGGCTTCCTGCTTTGGGTTAAATTAAATTGATTGATCTTTAAATGAATTGCTGGTCTCTTAATTTTTATTTGCACGGTTGCACATGTATGTTTGGGTCCTTGGGGGGATTTAACAATGTGAAGCACTTGTTGTATTGTGACGTATTTAATGTCTACATCTTGTATTATGGTACTGTGAGAAACAACAAATACTAACAAGTGACAAAGATGACAATGATATTGAGTAAATAAATGTTAATACATTACATCAATGGTAGAGAGGAACAGAAAAGTAAAATCAACTATTCCAGTCATGGTCGTAGACAATGTAATCGAGAAAGCAAGGAAGGAAGTACAAATCACCATATGGAAGAAAACGTATTCCAGTCAATTTAATGGGACAATGTGTAAAAAACATTGAGTTTTCTGTATTACTTTCAAAGCCTTACTATTAATTTAGATATGCAAAAATACCTCAGCGTATTTTTGAAAATGTAATTGTAAGCGAAGAATCAACTAATTAATAGTATATGACATAAGGACACGCCTCGCCTGCAGGAGGCTGCCATGTTGAGCCGCCATCTTTCTGCTACGGATCGGCGAAGTAGAAAAACTTAGCATGGTTACGCCACAGCATGGCTACATTGTCAATAACATTATTATATAACACACAAGCCCGCGCGCGCACACGCACACAACTCCTGAACTTATTCCGTCATTGGAGAAAAGGCAGTTAGTTCCGATTCCATGCACCAATACTGAATTATTAAGTCATACGTAGTCGGTTTGCAAAGCATGGTCTCTCTGAAGCACCGTAGTGCGAGTGCTTCAAAATGCACACGCCTCGAGTCGCTCCTGAAGTGGTTACGTTCTATTATTTTATCACTAGATGACACTAAATTATACACATTGTACTTTAGGACTCTGCTGAAGCTGATGTTGCATATCCACTCTTCCAGAGTTTCACTCCGCATGCAATTCATCGTATACGTACTTAAATTATACAATTAAATACTTGAAATACATTCCAATATGTTTAATGAATCTATCGAATAATGAACATGAGTTTGACCCTTTGAAGTGCACTACAGTACGGAACCTTTTAGCCGTAGTTGTTGTAACCAGACCCTTTTTAGGAACGGACAGCAACAACAACGCACAAGCACCACCTTCGTAGGTTTCTTGACGAAACTTTGTAATGCCAATAGTGTGCTTTGTTGTTTACGTTGTGCTGTATTTCTTAATTCGAGGCTGTGTTCATTTGGCTGAGTTACACCTGCGGACGGTGGAAGATTTTTTTGCCAATGTAGTATTTAAATCGTCCATCGGGGGTCCTTAGCACTACGCCTCAGATTCAGAGCAACTTTTTACACAATGCTCTCCCAAGTTCGATTATCATGGCCAAAAGTGTTCATTCAAAAATAATAACAATAAATCAAGACTGATTTTAATTCTAAAATGTACATTTGATATTATTTTGATTTGTTAGATACTGTAATGACCTTCAGTGGTGATTTGTCTCAACAGTAATTCTCTGATTCCATGAAAGGAAGGCAGGCAACTTTTTTTTAGCACATTACATACAGAAGACATCTCAATGGGCTTCACACAACCAAGAGCACAACACCGAAAATTATTTACAAATTGATCGGCTGAAGACATTCAAAGGCAAAGCAAAAAGAGCTGATTAAAATTACTGAAAGAAAATACATTGCCAACATTTCAACACAGTTACCAACAAAAGATTTAAGGACATTTTAAATCAACTGAAATAAATCAAAAGAAGCTTTCTCAGTTTAATAGAAGAACATGTGGTGAAATTACATTTTTCAATAGCGACAGCCCAATTGCAAATTGACATCATTTGAAAGTCCGCACAAGCATATGGTGTTCATTTTGGAATTTCTGTCAAATTATGATAAATGTGACTGTTTTACTTTCCTGAATTCAAAACTAGCGTCTCATGTGGAAAGAAATTTCCAACTCATGTTTGGTAAACATTGACCACCTGTCAGGCGAACATTGAACTTACTTGGCCACTCAGTAACCACGCTAGCTGAAATGTAAAATGTTCACACCACTGGCAGTGTAAAATGTCACTTACTTACTTTTTATATCTCTCTAAAAGGTTTTCTTATTCTTATGACAAACAAATGTCCTACATTATTATTCAGAATCGTATTTGTCTTACTGGCTGCAAAATGGCGGCCACACACTACTTTTGTTATTCCTGGAAAAAAAAAAATAAGAAATGCATTGACAGCACTTATGAACAAAAACATGCACAATCCCAACCAAAAACAAGACAGTCGTGTTAATCAAAAACGAACGAAATGTGCAAAGAGTGGCATAGTGCAGGAGTGGGGGGTTCAGGGTAAGAGGACGGTCTGGGTACTATTCTGCAGCCATAGTGGTTATAAGAGGGACTAAAATATCACTGACTCAGGTGTCCAGAGTTTTGATCCTTATGTGGATGCCGTTGAGCGAGCGAAGCACCACTCGAGGAATGATCTTGGGCTTCCTCGTGGGGTCCTCCATCAGCTGGTACCTCCTCAGAGTCAAAGCTACCACCACTTTCAGCTCGTTCATGGCAAAGTTCTGACCGATGCAGTTCCTACAAGGGTGAGAATACACACGTCTGTGTAATAAGATCCAACTGAGGCTGAAAAACTTAAAAAAAAAATCCTTTCAGATATTGTTCTGCCAAGACGAGCTCTAGCAAGCAAGCAAGCCATTAAACAATTCAATGCTCTTCTGTATGCACTTGTCCAACTGTTCTGTTTGACGATATTGTGTTTTGTTTGTATTTGGTAAATAGGTTGGGCAAAAAGGAGAAGCCTCCCTGCCTTGAGGATTTGCACCGCATCACGCAAACTGACCTGGGGCCAGCAGAGAAGGGCACAAAAGCATGCGGTGACCTTTCGCAAGAGTTCTCCGGCAGGAAGCGAAGTGGGTCAAACACCTGCGATGACATGAAAAGACAAAAATGCGACCGTTTGTGGGGGATTTGGGAGACTCCAGTGACGGCGTGATTCAAAATGTTATGTCTGTTGACATTAGCATCGCTTCTTTTCTCAATTGTGAGCCAAGAAATAGCCACACTCGGGTTACTTCAGTATGTTCGCCTCAAACCCGGCAGCGCTTGCAGACGTGCAAAAGTCACACGTTTTTCCGTGTACATAACGGAAAAAAACAAAATAGGAGAAGATATTGCTCAAACAACCAAACAATGTTACCTTATAATGGCTGGCTAGCTTAACGCTAACATATAATGGAAGACGCCTTTGGCACGCCATTTTTCTTTTAAGTAACTTTTCTTCCCTTTTTTGTTTTTGCCATTCTTAGCCTCTTTTTTTCCTAACCATTGTGTCATCTCAACCATTGAAGGAGTCTCATATTTTAAAAAAGGTTTTTGTCATTGGTGGCTAAAGGACGGTTGTTCAACTCATTCGCTGCTAGCCATTTTGGAGCATATTGACATTTTCAAGCTCCAAAGGACATTGTGGCCATTGATGACACACACCAAATCTACCAAATGAAAGAATAGACTTTCTCCTTTTCACCAGGAAAAAAAGAAGAAGTTTGATTCTGCCTTTTTTCCCCGTCTTTTTTTTTAATCAGCGGTCAAAGAAAGGTCGGTTGCACAAAATGCAGCCGTTCCTCCTAGTGAACGCACAAACTGCTGACATCTCAAACGAGACATAAATATCATCTCGTGGTAGTCGTGCATCAATGAAGTGTTTTCCATGTTAGAAATTTACAGTGGAGTAGTATTGCGCTCCACCCATCCCCCGTTGAAAAAAATTGTAATTGACGAGTATACACTTGGGCAGCGAATGAGTTCAAGTGCCTTCATCGTAAGCCTTACTTACATTTGGGTTTTCCCAGACTGTGGCGTTCCTGTGGAGCGCATACACACTCGTCCCGACGAGAGAACCTACAGAAAAGTAAAAAAAAAAAAACAAATGCTGCATTTTTCAGCCGCCAGTAAGATTTTTTTTTTTTTTATGTCCATTGAGACACGACTGACCTGCCGGCATAGTCCTTCCATCCAAAAAAGTGATGGGTTTGGTGAGTTTTCGGGCCATTCCCGGCACGGGCGGGAACAGCCGCAGCGATTCTTTGATGCACATGGTGGTGTAGGGCAATTTACTCAGATCCTCCCTGGCAAAGACCATCCTGGTTAATCATCAAACTCTTTGACTCTTATAACAGAGACGCCGCTCTCTCCGTGGAAATATGTTACCACTCCAAGGTGTCTTTGCCATTCAGGACTTGGGCGATTTCCTCCCGGCACTTGTTCTGGTGTTCTGGGTGGCAGGCAAGGGTGTGGAGGATGAAGGAAATGCCACTGGCGGTGGTGTCGTGGCCTTCAAACATGAAGGTGTCCACCTCGGCTCGGATGTCTTCATCTGAAAGCCCCTGCTCATTCTCATCCTTGACGATTGGACATAAAAAAACAAACCACTTGATGGCATGCCAAGCAATTGAAACTTGCAATTAAGATAAGACAAAATATTCACGACAGTGGTACCTCTACTTACGAACATCTCTTCATACGAAACATACGTAACTTTTCAAGTTACGAAACATCTCAACAGGGAAATATTGCCTCTTATTACGAAAGAAATTTCAAGTTACGAAAGGTAAAAATACAGTATGGGCTGCAACTCACAGCTCCGAGTTTCCTGAAGGCAACATACTTCTAGCTGCTCTGCCACTGGCTATTACCGAGCATCTTCCTGGCATCCCATTGGCTAAGAGGGACCTCTACCGAATGTGTCATGTGTGTAGATAGATAGATATGTGTCTCTGCGGCATCCTCGCCATTCGCCCCTCGGGCCATCAGGCGTTCCGATGGTTTTACGTCAATGTGAATCATACAGAAAAAAGTCAAAACAGAAGCCACTCGACCATACGCAGCCATGCCAAACGTTTCAGGGGCTACTGTCGTTGTTTACCTGCAACAACAGGATCATGTGGCTCAACATCTCTCAACTTACTCTTGCCAAGAGCAGAATGTCCAGAAAGTCCAAAGTCCTTTTGGTCTGGATACGCTCCGGCTCCTTCTCTTCCTTCAGGGCTTCTTTTCTCTTCCTTATCACTTCCTCTTTGAAAAGACAAAGACAGAAGATCTGACTTGACGACGACACGCCGACACCCCATCGTAATATGGGACGCGGAGCTTTTACCCGTATGACTGTGAGCCACCTTGCAGGCTCTCCTGTGCCTGAAGCCGTGTGGACTCAGGTAGAAAATGAGGTCGTTGTGGTAAGGAAAGGTCCGGAAGCGAAGGTTGATCAAATCGGTGAGCTGGTACACCGATTTAATGTACTCGTTGGTTCCACTGAAAGCAGAAAGCGTTTCGGTTGGGGTGCTGTCCAGAAAGGGGATGCGCAGACGAGCACGGTCGGCGCGGGCTGACCTCTCGGTCTGACAGTTGCTGTTGCGACTGAACGCGCACTTCATGATGGTGTCCAGTGTCATCAGGCTGACGTGTTCAAACAGCTCGAAGGACTCGCCGCTGCTGGAGTAACGCTCCCATTTGTCCTAGCGAGTCCACATGTCAAATTCGGAAGCGTTCAACCTGTCTTATGCTTTAATTTCTGCTTTTCTTGCTGAAATACTCTTCAGTGTAATAGAGAGTTTGTGACTGAACCGCAACTAAACCTCGTCTCCTAATCCTGACACAGTAATCCTACCACAAAAAAAAAAAAAGCAATTGATGCGTCCTCTGAAAAGGCCATGATATAGAACAAGATGCGTCAAAACACTACTTTTGTAACAGGCAGGGCTTTGGCCTGTCTTGTAGAAGCTGCTCCCTTTACCTCAACATAGTTCATTGGCACCAAATGTGCCAAAGTGTTGCTTTGTGGGACATGAATTCAACTGAAAAATCCACCATCGTCGTTTTCCATCTCAGGGGGTGGCCATTTTGCATCGTACAGCCACTTGCTGTTGACTGAAAATGACTTCACAGTGCCTAAGTGCTCAGCAAACGAACGTCACTGCTCACCTGTTTTTTGGGTTTGGTCATGTGACATTCACAAGTGGAGCCCGTCCGGCACCGTGATGTCATTTTAAGTCGACGGCAAGTGGCAAAATGGCTGCCCCCTGCTTTCTATTGGATGGTGTTTTGGCAAAATCTTGTGGTATTTCAGAAAGAACTCAAAAACAGGATAGGTTGAAAAAAAAAAACATGAGAAGAGATGATCTTGTACGACCTCATTGTACAAATATGGTAAATGAGTTTAGTCTGTACTCAACCGCAACAAGTTGTTATTGGAGAGTCATAAACACAAAGCAGGGTCAATATTAAGTAATAGGAGTGAGGACAGCACACAGCTGTGATATTTTACACCACTACTACTACTACTACTATTTTTTTCCCCAAGGTGCATCAATGATCAAATATTTATTTACATTTACCGTGGGTCGAGTTATTTTATTTTAGTTTTTGCCTTAGGTTATTTTGATGCGAATGACATTTTTGGTACAATTTCAAACCAGTCTATGAGATTTGTGTGGATATTTGGATGGAAGTGCGTTTCATAGAACATTTGAATTCCACTTTTTTGGTCTGTGACGTACATGTCAAGGGGTAGGTACTTACCAACATGGTTTTAGCTGACGCCGACATTAATTTTAGGTGCGATTTCAGCACGTCGTAATGGAAACCCGGCGTCAGGAGCCTTCTGTGGCGGAACCATTTCTGACCGTGAGAAACCAGCAGGCCGTCACCTGAGGATGCAATGTGCGGGTAAGTGCAGAATCACTTTGGAAGGTATTTAGCAAATGCAAGCGTCATAACCATCAACGGCTGGCGTTGAAAAAAAAATAAAAATCCTCACCCTTTCTGAAGAAACATATACAGATGGGGTGTATTTTTTCCAGTTGTTTTTACCATTTTAGCATTTTTTTTGGAAGTGAGTTCACAACATTAAGAAAACTTTTTTGAAAGCATAAATGTTCAGCTGACGCTAGCTAGTGCTTTCTTCTCAATATAAACACCATGCACGTTCAAAATGGATTATTTTGCGTATGGACAAGTTTTTAATCCCCATTTTCTTCCCCCGCAGGTGTCAGCGGGTACTGTAGCTGTTCAAAAAGCGCCCCCTCAATAATGATGTATTATATCATTACTTTTGCCACATCGGGCAGCAGGGGGAAAAAAAGTCGGTCTTACCAATCCAGGTCTTGATGAATTTGTAAGCATAATCATCTTTTGGCTCTGGAAGGTAAATGAGGAAACAAAAAAAAAAACAAGTGACATGAGATTCAGTAGCACACATTCCTTGATTGGGGATTGAGCCAATTTAATCCACATCTCATTCCCAAAGCTATTAGACATACCCTGATAGTTCAATAATTGAAGCAATTTACACATCATTTTCTATCAGCATCAAGCAATGTTCTTATTGTACTTGGGAACATGCAAACTCCACACAGGGTGGCTGGAGCCGGGATTGAACCCGACACCCCTGCACTGTGAGGCGGAATGCTAACAAGTTGACCGCTGTGCCGCCCCCGTCTATCAATAGAAAATAAAAATAGATTGGAGACCTGTTGATGTCAGGATGCTTTTCACATAATCTGGATGGTGGATGTTCATGTAACAGACACAGGGACCAAACCACAGAGGGAAGGCATAGGGGTGTTCCTCCCCCCATTTGACCATCTGGTCCAAGTCAGTCCCATCTTGTTTAAACTGTAAGAGAGCAAGGCAACATGCCTGAGCAACAAGTGTCGTGCATGCAAACGAATTTCAGTTGCACGCGACGTCAAGGTCGCCAAGCATTGCAAACAGAAACATCTCAGGAAGTTTTCATGTTTCTTACCTGCAGGACATGCCCAAAGAACCAGTGCCCGGGCGGTCCCGTGAACGCCTTAAAGTTTCGCAAGGCATCCCTCCTCTGAATCAGGAGCACGACGACTTTGTAGACGACGCCGACCAGGCACAGCAGAGCGAGCGAGTGCTGCACGAACCCGAACCAGGACGACGGAAAGCACCCGAAAGACTCGCTAAGCGACATATTACGGCAAGGTCAACCGCTCCGGGAGGACAAGAAAGAAAAAAGGCCACTAGGTTAACCAACTAACATGCGCAGATATATTTTTTACTAACTTGCTTGCCAGTAGACGTGACGTCAACGGAGCTCACACCACGATGGGCGGGGTGGGCACAGATCAATAATTCACTCGAAGCCGACTCCATTGTTCGCTTTCCTTAACGTCACATGAATGTTTGTTGTGTAAGTGTCACTACAGTTAACATGGTTGTGTGACTTGTGCTGTAAATCACGCCCAATTCACGCACTGCCGCGCGTTTCTTGACTTGTTCCTCAAGGTGGCGGCAGTTTGTCAAAGAGTTGCACAAAATGAAGGGGGAAAATATCAAATGCAGAGGTGTAAGTTATTTAAGTAAAGAAATGGGCTAAGTCAGGAAATTGGAAGACATTTTTGCAAAGTAAAAGGAGATATCATTATGATTAAAAAACGTTCTACGACACACTTTATTTTTGAAATAATCAGCTGCACTCAACAAGCTGAATCGAGAGTAGAGAAAATAGCGATTGCTGTGAAAAGTGCTACAACATATATTGACATCCAAGGAATAACATGGGAACAAGAGGAACATTGAAAGAATATAAAAAGAAATAGAAACTCGATCCCGAAATCAGAATGCTGTGAGCCTCATTGCAAATTTGAATATTATATTTTTTTAAATACTAAAAATAAGCAATTATTAACATACACGGTGACTAGTCACTGTAGTTAAAATGCTACATCTGAGTATTTAGTACAGTAATTATACAATACAGTAACAATATTTTAAAAAACGTAGCAATGTACTCCTTACCACTAGATGGCGTTGTTTGCCAGTCGTCAAATGACACGAAGAAGAACACAACAAAAGTAGGAGCGGGAGCGAAGAAGCACAAGTTGGTCAACTGTCTTGTGTGGCGTCCCAGATAAATGCGTTGTTTCACTCGTGGCGTAATGAAGCGAGTTTTAACCACGGTGCCGACAACTTAACTAGCTGCTAGTTAGCTTGCTAGCTTACACCGCTACACATCGTGAACAGAACCGTGTTTTCCTTCTCTAGCTCCGTTAATGTTGTTCTGGTGCCTTCGTGTTGTGATTAACAAGTCCCTACATATGTACCTTTGATTAACAAACGTAACTTGAATTAGTTAATTCACAAACACGCTGACATTTCTTGGTAGCTAGCACCGCTGTTTAGGCGTTATATTAGGCCTCTTGGCTCCTCGGTGTTTCCTGCGGAGGCCGGCTGTCTTTGCCGGTGACCTACGGCAGCTGGAACTTCTGGAAATCAAAGGTGACCCATCGATGTTTTTTTCCCCCCCGCTAGCTTTGCATGATCATCGAGTTGAGGTGAAGTGCAAACTGTTGTTCTAGTTTACAGTTGCTGAAGCGAGATGGAGGCTCCTCCAGTCACTGTGATGCCCGTTACCGGCGGCACCATCAACATGATGGAATACCTTTTACAAGGTAAGATGCATTCCCAGTCAGAGGAAATGATTAGAGGTAGAAACATAATGTATGCATAATACGTCATGAAGACCAGAAATACACTCAATAATGGGTAATGGGTTGTTTTGGGCGGTAAACAAAGATCTCTCAATGTTGACAACATTACACGAAGCACAAATAGCTTCGAATGCCTTCAAAACGTACGAGGAAAATATGAGCCAACATATTTAAGCATTGTTTTTATTATTAAAAGATTGTGTATACTTTTCTCCTGAGATATTTACCCACTCGTGATCCATAAAGCAAAACAACGGAAGCACCGTGGACAAGCTGAAGGAAGCAACAAACAGTATTTGAACTCAGTAACTTGGGACAAAAGTTGTACGTAGGGGCCTTCCAAAACAGAAGACCCATATTAGGCCATGTTTGACACAGAAGATTGTATTTATTCATTTTTTGGGGGGATTAAGTAAGTAATAAATTTAGCTGTTGTCGAATAAAGCTCGACGACTTTTGCACTTCTATTCATCATAGGGCTCGGTGATGTGTCTAAGAAAAAAAAAATGATCCCAATATATTTTTTTCATGGCATCCGATTCTAAAAGTGAAGTAGAGCAACAGCACGCGTTATAAACCAATAATATGTTTTTGTGTATTACAGCTC